CTGCCGTTCTCAGTGAGGTTCAGGGGGGGGGGGGTGGGCGGCAGGCGAGCTCGCTGCAGCGCTCAAAGGGGCGCTCAGCTTGTGCTTCGCACATGGGTCGCGAGGCGGTGCGCCTGAGCGCCACCACCACTCTGGGGCGATGCCAGGCCGCCGAGGCGCGTCCTGTCGTCCTCCCGTCGCTCTTGGGCACTGTTTCTCTTGACTTTGTTGATTCATCTGCCTGTGGCTTGCCCCCCTTTCAAACCCTTGCGCGGCGCCACCCGCACGTTGCCTTTCGCACCGACCTCGCCTCCGCTCCAAATCGCAACACCTCCCGCCTGCTCGTATGCAAACAACTCTCGCCCCCCAACAACGAATCGCCCGCTCCACCACCCTCTGCAGCCGTTAAAACCCCATCCGTTCCCCTCCGCCTCCCTCCCCTCCTGGCGCGCGCCCGCCGCAAATCGCACCGGCCGCAGGTAGAGGAGCTGCCCCTGGAGCAGCCGCAGGTGATGCTGCGCTACCCCTGCACGATACGCCACGAGCTGGCGCCCTCCAGCCCCGCCGCAGACTGGGTGACGCTGGACGGCCTGATGCGGGTGAGTCAGGGGTGAGGGAGTGAGCCGGGGCGGAATGTCTCTGGGATGGGTGGTGTTCATGGGGAAGAGACAGGGGGACGCGGAGTTTTTTGGGGCGGGGGTAGGGGGGGCACCAACACAACGGCCGTGTGTTGGGGCCGGGGTTGAGGCAAAAGCGCGCTTTGCTTTAGAAGAACCGCAGGGGCGCAAGCCTGGTTGCAAAACGCCAGCGCACAGCAGTCCCTCTGCGAGCAGCGGGCGCGACAGCCTCGCTTCAGCAACGTCCTCGTGCGAGCCCCTGCCTCTCCAGCCAATGCGTCTCCCTCCCAGGACTGTCCCGCCTGTCTCCCGACCCCTCTCCCACCTGACCCCTGGCACCTCCCGCCTTAATGACCTAATCCGTGGCCTCATAAGGCCATGCAGCCGTAGTAGCATTGCGTAATCCAGTGCCGCGTGGCCCGTCGCTCGGCCCAGACCCCTAGTCACAACCCAGCCTTGACCCAACCCGCCCAACCCGTCGATTCTGCGCCTCCCGCCCCTTGCAGGATGCAGATGCGGAGGTGGTGGTGATGGTGCGGGCTGTTTCCTACGCCAGCAGCGCCGTCACCATGAAGACCAAGCTCTACCCCGTTCTGGGGTGGGCGCGGGGTTGTGCCTTTCATTACATGCGCACGGGGCTCGGCTTCGGCAGCATGTGGCAGGGGGCCGCTGGCATGCATGTGCGCCCATTGGCCTGCACATTGCGGGGGTGCACAGGCCCGCTGCTGTCGCCCCTGCCTTGCAGAAGCACCGAGCGCCTCGATCGCCGCCGCACACCCCGCCACGCCGTCCCCTCAGAGGCGTCAAATGGGGCCACAGCTACGAGCCCTGTGTGCAGCCGCCCTCCCGCAACCGTGACGGCCGCACGCGCGTCCTGTGGGAGGACTTCCACGCGACACGGCCGCTCCACCCGCAGGTCTGGGCCGCGC